GTGAAAGGCCTGGCCTAATTATGGTGTATAATATGGAACCTGACAACACAGGACATAAAACTCATGGGCCACAGGTTTAGTAAATAGAAAAGGGTTTTTGAAAAAAGACTGAAATGGGTTTCAGCTTGATGAAGCGATAAAAAGCGTGGACAAATCACTGGAACGCTTGATTAGGAGGTTAAAAGATGAAGGCTTTCTGGGTTGCGTGAACATAGTCATTGTCTCTGATCATGGTGGGTGTTTGCAAAATACTTTTTTCTATAAGACCTGTGAGAATGGTTTTTCTAGGAATGGCAGAAATAAAGAATCGCGTTGTATTAGACGAGCTGTTTGACGTTGAAGATCTAATTGTTATTACCGGCGTCAATACCTTAATATTTCGGAATGATACCAGTAAGTCGACTGAACTTAAAAGTTATAGATTTTCTGTATAATAGAGAAATTGCAGAATTGACAAACGAAGAAATCATGAGCGCAATGACGTGTAAGGGAACTGATCATATTCGTGTCTTTAACAGATCAACAGTCCCTGTTAGATTTCACTACACAGAATCGAGTAGGATTGGTGATTTTATTGTTCCTGCACAAAGAGACACGCTTACTTATTTGTAAGTGTAAAATTTTGTATAAAATCGAAAGAATAGCCCGAGCTTCCTACTTTGTTCTATACCATAAACATATTTCAGACATCGGGAAGACATTAAACCGGATCAAAATGGTAATCATGGTTTTGATTACATTGAGCCTGATATGCATACCATTATGTTTGCTCGAGGACCAAGTTTTAAGGAAGGAACTGTACTTCCACCTTTTCCTAACGTAGAATATATGAATTTATGGACAAGTAAGTATTTAAAACAATAATATTGCATGTTAAATTGGTTGATTTCAAGTTTCAGTTGACAGACTAAGTATGTGACTTAAACTTTTTTACAACCTGTAGTTTGCATTTAGAAGTGCGTAAAATTTAACACCGCTTCCAATACTAAATGTTAAGTTGTCGGTGTTTCTTTTCAGTTAAAAACA